ACAATTTCAAAAGCTAAGCTCGAAGTACGCTACCAGCTGGAAAAGTTAGGATTGGAACCGAAAGACATATCGTTCGAAGAATGCGTATTCATCAGAAAACCTAAAGCAAAACTTGACCCCGCTTGCGGAGAATTTGCGTATATTTCTATACCGGAGGAATCTTTTGAAAGTGACGAAGAGATCCATAATGCAACCGACTTATTTGGAAACGTTGGCGCTGAACTTAACATAAAAGATTCATCAGCTTTCAACTCACGAAATACGTTTCAAATTCGAAATCGCAACGGAAGCATTGTGCGTGTGAAAAAATCTACATTCCTTTGGATGCTGATGTCGGAAACGGAAAAGTGTTCCTCGGACAGAATTTACAGATTTCAAGGACCAGCGCACAGAATTACATAATAACAAACGTTATTTTTCAGTAATAAAATCAAACACTATTCACACAAAATTTATGCATCATAAGGCTTTTGAGTGGGGGCCATGGCCCATACCGGCAGTATCCCCCATCAGGACTCGATCGGTAAACATGGCATAGATCCGATAGGGCTGCAGCGGTTCCAACTTCGTCGCCAACACGGATCTGTCGTATCGCAGGAGATCGATATTCATGTTGAAGTACACCCCGTCGAACTTACACAGGAACAGGTTTTCCATCTCCCGCCGCTGGCCAGCCAATTCCGCGTTGAAGTAGATCATCGAGTAAAAGTTGAGGTTTTTCGACACCTGTGCATCGAGCGTGTACAGTTGCTCCGGCAGAGGGACCTTCACTGAAAGTGGGGGTGTAATCAGTGTGACGGCAATAATGGTCGTCCTTAGCGGTGATCACTTTCGGTGCCATCAGTACCTTGAACACATTGCCGAGATTCTCGATCGTTTCCATGACCTTTTCAATTACCAGTTTCAGGCCTTTCAGCCCGTTGGCTTTCTCCGGCGTTGAGGTTGTCATGGCTAAAACGATATTTCTGATAACTACTGCATTATTTAATACTGCTGAGTGATAAATTTACCATACAAAGGTGGAGCAATCAAATCAATCTTGATCCAAAGGTTCCTCCGTCGAGAGATCTAGGCCAGCCCGCAGCGCAGTCTTGACTGCATCGATACCCTCGTAACCGTAGCAAGCAAATCCAATATTTGCTCGGATCTTAACCACTTGCTAGGTAAGCTTCCGCTTGATGTTACTCAACAGAATTTCTTTCACTTCCCGTTCCAGCCGCATTCGTCCGAGATGGCTCACTGCAATATCTATTAGATAATTACAATCTAAACCCATAATCCACAAGCAAAATCTACTTACATGACACACTGTTCGAACACATCATACGCAACGGCCTTGCTCTTGAGCTTCTCCTCGAAGCGCCAGGCGGTCTTTTCATACAGTTCCTCCAACTGCTCGTTAAAGAACTTCATATCAACCAAATGCCGGAGGATCGAATTCACTGCCTTGGCCTTGGCAAATCGCTCCGTACATGTTTCCACATCTTCCGGCGAAACTCGTCCCTTGAACAGATCGATGTATCCCTTATTAGTCCACACGGATTATGACCACTGGTTCGGTTTTACGGATAAATCTGCGGAACAATTCTGACAACAAACGAATGTTGCAATACAATGTTTTGCTAATTTGAGGCAAAAATGTCACGTCACCTTTCATTAGGTCCTATCTACATTGATCGATTTTATCATCGACTCTCTCTTTGAATCACCATGGCTGCGCAAACAAATTTTGCGCTATTTTTTTCACATAGTTGGATAAAATAAGGTACTAGCTAGCGAGCTAGCTAGTACCCAGAATGTCAAACATAACAGATAATGTTGTTGCTACTGAGTTATTAACGAAAGCGAAAGTCAATGAAGAGATTCGATCAATGTAGATAGAACTTAATGAAAAGTGACGCGAGAAATCTCTTCTGTCAAAACAGCTGTCACCGTAATCTGTCACATGAAAATTAGATATGTGACCCGATATGTCAGAGATGTGATCGATAAAAACGATATTTTTATTTTTTAGAGATTTAAGCTCGATAATATCGGATAAAATGGATTTGGCTGAATATTAATGAAATCATTAAACTGAAGAGATTTTCTTGCTAAATTCGAATAAATCTGGGACTTTCGCCCCCCTCGCTTCATCTATGTTGTTCCTAATCTTCTATTCGTTGTTCTCTGGTTAAGACTAGGGTTCTGATGCATGGTCATTATCGGTGTCATACCTTAATTTTGTTGCTAAGGAATTCAATTTTGACTGACAAAGGGGCGCGCCTTTGGAGGGTATTCCAACACTCCGAAGGGTATAAATAGCGGGACCTTTCAATTAGAGTCGGATCCTTGCAATAAATGCAAGAATGACAACTGTACAAAATCGAACACTTCATCATTTCTCAATAGTGATGAGTAATACGACATGCACTAAACTAACGACACCGGATATACTACAATAGACCAAATTACTGGTCGCAGTGGTGTTTGGTCCCGATCAGAGAAAAAAAAAGCCCAGAAGGTCCCGAAGAAACGTGCTCAACTTTTTGGCTCATCTATGGTACTCTCTTCGGTCCCAAGCTAATCGATGCACCCCTCGAAACAAAGGAAAATCAACGAACCCCTCATTTTATATGTCAAACTTTTATAGCAAATCAAAACAAACCAACTGGCGACTCTGTAGCTCTTTACTTCAATGTTAAATCCATAAGCAAACGTCAGATTGTGCGTGAAACATGGCGGACTTCGTACTATCCTTTCACTCCACGGAAAATTCCCATAAGAAACTGTCAATCTTTGCTAGAATAGACGATTTTTCAAGTAGTCAAGTAGTGAGCCAATTTAAAATCGTTAGTTTCCACCGGCTGCTATTACTGTCCTGCCTGTTTTGTTTTTAGTCTGAGAAGCGGAGCGATGGCATGCGTCTAGAATGAGCTTCCAAAGGAAGTTTCTTTTAGAAACTTCTTAAGAAGGTTCTTCTGAAAGCTTCTTAAGAAGGTTCTTCTTGAAGCTTCTTTTAGAAACTTCGTTTAAAATCTTCTTTAAAATAGTTGAAGATGCTAATTTCAAATAACAGACTAAAGTGGTAACTTTTATACGATAGATGAGGAGATGAAAGTATAGAGTTGATAGTTCCGTTAGGGTACGGCAGTGTGAAATTGTTTATATAGAGAGTAGAAAGCGAGCAAGGTATAAAGGTACAAATTGGATTGATCATCTCTCTTTACCAAACTTCCCCGTTGGAGAGGGATGGTGAGGGGTATTCCTCTCAAGATTGAACACTCACGAATAACATCTCAAAAGAGTGAAAATTGCTCAAATTATGCGACAAGTGAATTTTAACCTACGAGTATCTCGAAAATATCAACTTTGGGCAATTTAAGCATTATGAGCTTTTTGGTTGTAAATTCAATGTGTTTTAATATTAACACTATTTTAAAGATATTCAATAACTGTAGGTAGTATTTTTGAAAATACTTATTTTTTTCAATAATTCATAACTTTTTTATTTATGATTTGCCCAGCAAATGCACAGTGTCAGTAATTATAACTTTATCTAAACTACAAAATAAATATAAAAAAAATTATGTAAAAAATTTTACAATTTGAGTAATTTTAATTTTTTTTTTTGTAAAAAAAAAATAATTTTTTACAGTGTATATTTTTTCTTGGAAGGCACAATACTTGTCCGCAACTTCTTCTAAGACACCATCTCGATCGAACAAATCGTTCACGAGATATGTATTTTTCTATTGATGTGTTTAATTTTTGCATAAGCCCTTTTCAAGTGTTAGTCGTGTACAAAACTAGAGAACCAAATATGTAAAATGGCATGTTGGACAATAACAAACATTTGTGCAAAGTTTCAACATAATCGTAGAAGGTCGATCTAAAAATTTAAAAAAAAAATCGTCATTTAAAATGGAACTGCTGAGATTCGAAATTTGAAAAATTATAGAAAATTTACTATTTACGTCTTTTTAATTCTATTACTATTGCATCACTTTCACATTCACTAATTCACTATTCACTTACATTATCACTTTAAAACACTATAACAGGATACGTATTTCGTTTACTACTTGCAAACTTCTTCATTGGCGAAGTTTGCCATTAGTGAACGAAATATGTATGCTGTTTTAGTTTGTTTTAAATGATAGTGAAAGTTTCAACAAACAATTTGAGTTGATTAATAGCTGAATGAGCCATTTTTTAGCTGAAGAAGCTTATTTTTGCCTGAATAAGCTCTTATAACATTCAATGCTTGTTGGGTAGTGAATTAGGGAAAGTGAAGGTGATACAATAGTAGTAGAATTAAAAGGAAGAACAAGGTAATAAGGTATACAATTATTCTACTAAAACGATCATCAATCAATTTAAACTAGAGTTGGTTGGAAATGCGAACATGAAGCTTTAGTGTGATAGTTTATTACCTAGATAATGATCTTTAGAAGAGGGTAGCTCGGTTCGGTTAGAGTACGGCAGTATGAAAATTGAATAGAAGTTGAAAATGAGCGAGGGCCATTAATGCGACAGTACAAAGTCAAACGCACACCTTTTTGCCTAACCCGTACGATGTACGCAGAGATTTGAAGTATGTCTTCTAATTTACAGGCAAAAAGATGTGCGTCCGCCTTTGCTCATTACTGACTGCGGCTGTGGACTAGTTCTAGTGAGGTTTCATCACTACCTAAATTTAAACTATTAATTGCTAAACTCTAAATTTCCTGCCAAAATTCCTAGAATTACAAAAGTCGGTCTGGCAAAATAAATATACAAAAGTGTCAAAGGGGAAGCGATCTATTTGATCGATTCAGGAGCACAGTGCAAATTGTCCAGGAATTCAATGATCGTGCCCCCAAAAAATCCTGAATTTTGAGATATGCCCTATTTATCAGGTTGTGAATTTGACCACGTGTCAAGCTCTCCGTTAGATCACGAGTTTAATTATCTGTAGTACCGATCGAGTATTTTCAGCTAATATATATTCTTTTTTTTTTGTTTTTAATTTTCCGCAGACTGTCAACAAGGAAGAGATCGTCAAGCGCATTGTTGGCTGTGACGATCCCGAACCGGTTCCACCTCCGAAGATTGTACCGGAGAGTGTCTCGGCGCACGCCAGACTCATTGAAGCGCAGCTTGCAGCCAAACTCGGCAAGGTTATAGTTAGCAGAGGCGAAACTATTGGCGCTGTTGTAGGCCCATCGAACGTGGGTAACGTTTCCAACCGGAGCGAAGCGGAACGTGGTAGTGGTGGTGGTGGGGGTGGACACAGCGTTACGTCGACCATAGAACGAGGTGGGCCTGGTGGTGGTAGTAGTTCCGCACCATCAGGTGGAGGCGGCGGAGGTGGTGGCTGGGATCAATCCAGTCTGGAGAATGCTGATCAGGACATTCTAGAGCGCAAACGAAAAGAATTACAGCACGAGCTGAAACTAGAGATGGACGCCAGTGGAGGTGGAAGCAGTCATCATCACCACCATCATCATTCTTCATCGTCAATGATGAAGCAAAAATCCGCTAAGGAGACGCTGGTAGTGAAGAAGATTCGCAAGGTACCGGCACCACGTAGGTCTTCCTCTAGTTCGGATAGTTCGAGCAGCAGTGGATCGGATTCATCAGACTCGGATTCAAGTTCTAGCTCGAGCAGTTCCAGCCGAGATTCTAGAAGAGTGAAGAAACGAGCCGTTAGGCAACGACGCGATTCTAGCTCTAGCTCGGATGGGGGCGGAGGCAAAAAAGTTGCCAAGAAGCATGTCAAAAAGGTTTCTGCAGATGGAACTAAGCGAATTGTAACTAAGAAAATCGGAGGTCATTTAACTAAGATTCGCGTCAAGAAAGTTACGAGCCCTGGTGGAACAACCAGTCATATTCGTAAAGTTGCCAGGGAAGTTTCTCCTAGCGGAAAGACACCGACAAAATACACCGTCAAAAAAGTGGTGGCTTTGAAGAAAGAAAAACATGTTGCCGTTGTTGATGCACGTGAACGTGTTCGCGAAAAGGAACGTGAATTAGCTCTCCGGGAGAAGGAACGCGAAAGAGAAAAAGAACGTTTGCGTCTTCGCGAAAGAGAACGGGAACGGGAACACGTCAAGAGTCGCTCTCCAAGAGCGCACATCCGATCCCGTTCGCCACGGGCACGAATATCGCCGACTGTTGTACCGGTTTCTGCCCGCGGAAGAGAGAAGAAAAAATCTCCTGAAGGATCTAGATATAGAGAACCGGTTGCAGCCGTGGTTAGACGACCAGAGCGTTCCCCGGAACGCATTGACGATCGGCGAAGACATGAAACGCTGAAAGATCGTGAACGTCGTGAAAGGCAGGAACGGGGAGAACTTGCCAGGACCAAGGAACGCGAAGAAGCGCTTGCTCGTTGTCAGGAGCGACAGCGTGAACGGGAACGCCTCGCCGCTGCTAAAGAGAGACCAGCTCCCCGACGCGAACGAGAAAATCCTGTTGATGGCGGTTTGGACAAACCCGATCGCCATCGGCCAGTTGAACGACTTTTGCCACGTCCAGCAGAACGTGCGCGAGCTTTGGCTGCTGCTAGATCTCCTGGTAAAATCGATCACGACCGTAGCCGTACTCCTAACTCACCGAGAAGCCGTGATCGGCTCGCTCCTCGGGAGCGATCATTTGACCGTGGTGTCGTGGAAAGAGGTAAAATCAAAATAATTATGCAACTTTAGCCCCACTAACGGAGTTTCTAATTACAGGATTTATAGAACATCATGATCGTCGTACTCGTTCCAGGGAACGAGAATATGTGGCCCCTATTGTTAGGGGCGCAAGGAGCCGTGATAGTCCATATGACCGTCATGCAGCTGCCCCAGCTCGAGATACCCGAGAGTACAGGGAACCTGAAGGCCGGCCCGCTTACGACAGAGAAAGAGGTCGCAGCCAAGACTATGGTCGCACCGAATACCCGGATGATCCTCCACCAAGACGAGAACTTGATAGAGAATGGGAACGGAACCGTGAACCAGATCGTGCACCACCAGCGCCGCGTACGTATGAAAGACGTGAAGAACACGGTCGAGATTGGGATCGTGAGCACTGTCGTCCACCACATAGCCACAGCCATGAACCTGATTCTTATCAAGGTCCGTCTAGGAACTGGGATGAATCACGCTGGAAAGAAGCTGATGGTTGGGTTAACGAAAAGGAACGGAATGAATGGAAGTTCAAGGAGCGTGCATGGGAACACGACGATCATCCAGCTGTGGGGCCGCCGACGCATTCTCACAGTCATAGTGGTGGTCGTCGATGGCAACATACACATCCTGAGCCGAACCAAGGACCAAATTGGCATGGTAAACCAAAAGAAGATATGGAGTTTGGCCCACGCCACAAATTGGCCGGAAGGCTCGGTGATAGAGTCGGGAATGACAACACAATGTTCCGACGGCAGCACCAAGGCCATCAGCCAATGTTTCAACGCCACGGTCGTAATGGACCCCCCGCAGGAATAGCTCCAGGTCGTTTTGGAAATCAGAATAAGTATAGCATCAATCGCACTCAGCAAAATCTTGCAGCCCAACATCAACATCCACACCAACATCCGCCACTCCAACAACGGCAGCAGCAAGAACAACAAACACAAGGATCACAACCTATTGGCCCAGGACCCTCTAATCAGTTAAGTCAATCAGGACCAGCCCCACCAGGTCCATTAATCATCGACTCCAACGTACAACCACCGGTCTCAACGCCAACGACAACTTCTAATGAACCTAAAGATGATCTTCCACCTCTGATTCACCCGATTCCCCAAGTATCTGAAGGGATTCCAGCTGTTAAACCCGTCGAAGAATCACAAACTCAACAAAGTCCATTAACTGTTGTTACCGTTACTACTGCTGCTCCTGTAGACAGTGCAACATCTACTGGACCTGCCGAAAGCGTCGAATCTACAGATAATGCAGCAATACCCGACGCAGTGGAACAAGGTACGGTAACCAACGCAGCGGCCACGACAGAGAAACCTCCCGAGCCGGTTGTTGCTCCTCCTGAGCCCATGGATGAGGACAATCTCAGCGAAATCAGCGACGATCCGGATGATATCTTGACTAGAGAAGAAGTGAGTATATTTTTTTGCTTTTTCCTCCCCTTTTAGGCATGTTTTCTGGAAACTCCCAGTTGAAAATCAAACATTAATCTCTTTGCTTCATGCTGCGCGGATTGACTTTTGATTTCGCGTAACAGGATGATGATTTCACCGATTCCTTACTGGTTGCCGGAGAGGCTAGTGATCAGCCTAATACGGCCAAACTCTCAGGATCTGCACCAGTCGTTCTCAATTCGTCCTCTATGATGATTCCATCGCAAGTGATTCAAAATCATTCACAACAGTCTCAACCACAACAACAACAACAGCAACAGCAGCAAAATCAACAGCAACCCTCCGGCATAAAGCGTCCTTTTTTATCTAAAGCTCGCTACAAATCCTACGATGGGTGTATCGGGGGATCAATCCAAGATCTCTACGCGAATATCGATGACGTTGGGACGTCGTTTCGAACCGGCCCCGGAGTAAGCCGTTTGAAGTTGTTGTCTTTTTGTCTTGAGTTGATTTGTTGCTTTCCCGTTGTTGTGTTATCTACTAGAAAAGGAAGTCTAGCATAACCTTTGGGAAAAAAACAGTACTATGAGCCTACGACACGAGAGATTATGCTCATCCATTTCCCTTCTCATAGTACTGTTTTTCCCAAATAATGGTAGATGTTCCTTTTTTGTTGCATTGCTTTTGGTTTTTTTTTTTCATTTGGAAGAGAATGCCAGTCAAGGCTCTATAATTAATTTCAGTAATTTTGAATATACTTTTTGATGGATGTACCATTAGGAGTGACAAAATCTTTCGTTAATGCATGCGATAACACAATTTTAGCCCCACGCATTTTTGCGATTTTCCGCTCACTATACCCATTATTTACATAAAGTGAGGAATCCTTATTCCCTGATGGTTAGTTCGCTGAAAAGGATAGCATATCCGGTCAGCATTCTACCTGTCGAAGTTCTAGCATCTAGGAATACGGACAAAGAAAAAGCATCCGGGAATAAGTATATCCGTTGTATCTTTTTTCGGATTTCAAAGTGTTTACGTGTATGTGTGTCTTTTATAATAAGAGGAAACTTTTAAAAAGCCATAGAGCGACTACTTCATGAATGGGGATTATACCCACCAAAAACTCTTACTCGCCTTGTCTGTGTGCCACTCTAGAGTACTACTTCGGGGGAAGCTAGATATATCTACTCATGCACTTATGCATTTATTAGAATAAGGTGGGGCAAGATGGGTCATCTATGGGTGGTGGAAGTATTGTGATCGTGCGATAATTTGGTTCTTTAAGAGCACCCGCACCAATGCGTTGCTAAAGCTATTTTAGCAACCTCCACCATAACGCAGTAACCGCACTGGGGGTTGTTATTAAAGTGCGGAAAATAAGAATCTGCCTCTCGGTGAACAGCGGGTTGACAAATATAGCAGCGCGAAAGCAACCGGCCCAAGCGTTGCTATCTACGAAATGTTTGGTTTGTTTTTCATTTGAACATTATGATAGATGAATAAATTTGGATTTAGGACAAAAATGTGGACCCAAGGGACGGCAAAGCATGCCTCTGGAAGACCCGGAACATGCGTAAATGTAGAAAATTAATAAAGAAGGATCTAGATTGTTTTAATCAATTTGTTGTTATGCTGCATGAACTAATTTGGATTTGAAACCAGTATGTGCACTCTGGTGGCCATGGAGTACCTGAGTACCTGATGGGCGACGACTCGTTGAATTCAAATCTGCGCCGAACGAAGTAACCGTCTCCATTGGTCTCGGTCCTGAGCCAATCGCTTCCAGTCGCCTTGGACGTTCAAGGACCTAATGTCCTCCTCAACTGCACAAAGCCAACGCGTGCGTGGCCTACCCCGAAGCCGACGTCCTCTTTCAGGTTCCCTGCTGAATATTGACTTCGCTTGACGCTCTTCCGGCATTCGTGCCACATGCCCAGCCCACTGTAGCCTGCCGTGTTTTATAAGCTTCACAATATCCATGCCGCTTTATACTTGGTACAACTCGTGATTCATGTGACGCCGCCAGATGCCATTTTCCAGTTTACCGCCGAGTATTGTTCGCAGCACTTTACGCTCGAAGACACCGAAAGCTCTCCGATCGGCCTCTTTCAATGCCCACGATTCGTGGCCATAAAGGGCTACCGGCAGAATCAACGTCTTGTACAGCACGAATTTCGTTTTCGTACGCAAGCTGCGGGACTTCAGCTGGCTACGCAACCCGTAGAAAGCCCTGTTCGCGGCTGCAATACGCCTTTTCACCTCGCGGGTAACATCATTATCGCGCGTCACTAAAGTATCAAGATAAACACACAACTTCAAATTTTTCGCCATCTAGCACCACTTCACTACCAACACCACTATTGCTCCCACGCTTTCTACCGGCGACCATGTACTTCGTTTTGGTAGAATTTATCGTGAGACCAATCCTCGCTGTCTCCCTCTTAAAAGGCGCGAACGCCTCTTCCACTGCTCTACGGTCGATTCCGATGATGTCGATGTCGTCCGCAAAACCAAGGAGCATGTGCGACTTTGTGATGATGGTACCGTTCCTCTGCATGCCAGCTCTCCTAATCGCTCCTTCGAGGGCGATGTTGAATAGCAAGTTCGAAAGAGCATCTCCCTGCTTCAACCCATCTAAGGTCACGAACGAGGCCGAAATCTCGTCTGCAACCCGTACACATGATTTCGAACCATCCAGCGTTGCACGAATCAGCCTAATTAGTTTCGTCGGAAAACCGTTTTCTTGCATTATCTGCCATAGCTCGTTTCTCTTTACTGAATCGTACGCTGCATTGAAATCTATGAACAGATGATGAGTCTGCAAGTTGTATTCCCGAAACTTCTCAAGGGTTTGACGCAGGGTAAACATTTGATCCGTCGTTGATCGACCCTCACGAAAACCAGCATGGTATTCGCCGACGAAGGATTCCTCAAGCGATCTCAATCTGTTGAACAGAACACGTGATAATATTTTGTACGCCGAATTCAGAAGCGTGATTCCTCTGTAATTTGTAGAGGGGACAAACGAGACCATCCAACCAACTAGCGGGCAATTCTTCCTCCTCCCATAATCTGAGCAGTATACGGTGGATCATCTGGTGCAGCTGCTCACTTCCGTGTTTGAGAAGTTAGGCCGGGAGCTCGTCCTTCCCCGCAGCCTTACTGTTTTCCAGCTCTCGTATAGCCTTTTTCACCTCTTCTAGCGTTGGTGGTTCCACAGCTTGACCATCGTCGTCGATGTGTGTTCTGTTTGTAGATGCTCTCTCGTTCTCTTCGTTCAGCAACACCCAACCGAGGGATGTAAGATTCGCTTACAATTATGTGGGATTCATCATCAGAGGATGTTAGTGGAGACCGCATGACCGCATGAACCTAGCTGCGGTCCAATGCAAGAAAATTGGAGACCGAAAATGTAGAGTGTATTAGTGAGGTAAATTAGTTATGTCGAAAAAAATAGGAAGCCGATTGCCGACTGGACTCGAACCAAGAACGCTTAGATTATCAGACCTGTGCTTTCTCCACTGCTCTCTACATGCTCCTGAATATGGATAGCCTAAAAGCAAACATGAAGCGCTCATTTTCTCGCATACTCGACTTCGTATGCTTTTTCTGCTGGAGAGATTCGAGTTAAGTGTGTGCGTCGTTCTACAATGTTCTACAATGTGCATCGTTCTACAAGCTTACTGGTATAGTCGAAAGCGTAGATAGAACACGAAATGAAAAAGACAAAAAACCATTACATCGCCTGTAAGGTCAACTTCTAACATTCGCTGCGATGTTCATGAACAGAGGATGATAGGAAACGGAACTAACATTCATTGTAATAGATTTTTGGTTTGCGTGAACGTCTCGAAGTACTCCTTCCACCTGGCAGCCACCATCGTTCTATCTGTCAGCAGATTACCTTCACGGTCATAGCACATGGCGGGAGACGGCGCTGTCTTACTCCTCACGCCATTGACAGTTGCGTAAAACCTTCGCATATCATTCTGCTCCATACTTTCTTGCGCCTCAGCAATAACGCGTTCCTCGTACTGCCTTTTTTTTCCTGCGATGGGTTCGTTTCTCGGCTGACCTTGCTACCCTGTACCGCTCTCTGTTCGGACGGGTACCAGACACCAACATCCGGCTTCTGGCGACGTTCTTCTCCTCTGTCACTCGCTGGCACTCCTCGTCAAACCGCCCGTTCCGGGGGCGTCTCTGAGCTGTACCTATCACCTGGTGGCCATGGAACGGTCCTTCAAAAGATCCGGAACATCCGTAAAGGGGGCCAATTCGTAGAAAAGATCCTAGAGCTCCGTATTTGGATCTGGGACCAGCATGCGAACTCTGCTGGCCACAACCCGGTCTTTCGGAAGGACCGGACCATGCGTAAAAGTGATAAAAAAAATTCAAGAGCTTCACGAATCACTTATTCTGAAGCTATATGTATGAATTAGGATCTAGGACTAGCAATCAGGTAGCGGTGTGGTTCTCTGGAAGATTTTGAACATCCACAAAAGTAGTCAATTCGCGTAAAAATCCTAGTTTTATTTGGGTTTCCCTGAGGATTTGAATCTTTCCTGAAGTTGATTAATTTTTCTATTGTTCCGGAAATTTTAATCATATTTATAAAATATTCTGAAGACCTCGCATTGTTTTTGAAGCATCGCAAAATTTATGAAATTATAAAAATATCCCATAATTCCTTTGAACTCTTTGAAATATCCTGCAATTTTCCTTAAATAAATGAAACTGATATGAAGATCTCTAATCATCAACGAAGTTCCGGGAACTTCCCAAAATATAATGAAACTACCAAAAAATCTCTGTACTTCTCTGAAGGTCTCTAGACGTTCTTGAAGATTTCTGAACATTTTAAAAGATCTCGCGATTTTTTTGAACATAATCTGATCGTCGCTGAACATCCTGCATTTTTTGCAGTTCTTTAAACTGCATTGAATACCATGGAACTTCCTTAAAATGATCTCACATTTTCCTGATCCCCATGTAAGATCTCTTATGTTTCTGAAATTTAAATAAAGGTCTTGGTACTTTGATGAAGTTTCGGAAATTCCCTCAGTTTCTTGGAACTTCTTAAACATTCTTCAGTTTGCATGATTTTTTTTTTTTAATTTATTTATTTATTTTTTTCCATTCCTGAAGTACTCTCAATTCAATTGGTACTCTGGTTCTCTGGATATCCCTGAATTTCTCAAATTTTCTCAAAAGTTCCTGCAGTTTCCTGAAGCTTTTGGAACTACTTTAAAAATCCTGAAGAATGCCTGAAGTTCACAAAAAAATTCCCGCAGTTTGCCTATAAAACTTTTCTGATGATGTTCCTGGAATTGTTCAGAAATTAATGGAATTGCCCAGAAGATTTTTAAATTTCCCTTTAAACACGGATCTTATGTGTAGTTTTCTTAATGTTTTTAAGTTCATTCCCTGAAGTTTTTTTTACTATCCTTAAATTTTCGGAACTTCTTGATAATTTC